ATTAGACTGGTGCATGAGCTCAGGACAGGAATTAATGCTACAGGTAGGAGGAGGGGAAATATTTTCTTATGCAATACATTGAGATAGAGAATTCCACTTTTACTATTGGAGTCCCCAAGCGATGTAAACCTATGTGTGATTTCTTTCATGACCAAAGGAACAACCTTGACACTGTAGTGCTAAGAGATTCTTGAGAAACCAAACGGACTGTAGTGGAGAGTCACCATCAGCTCTCAACCTAGACCAGTGTGCAACGTGAATGCTGCCCTCAGGAGATGAGGGAATCTTGAAATAACATAAACAAAATAGAATGGCACAAGAGTCTAGTGCATTATCATCAACATTTGTTTAGGAAATAAGAACCAATAAGTGCAAACTAACAAAAGCCAATGATTAAACCAGTGTTGTACATACACCCAGGTGACAATTGTGTCTTCCAAGATATGGAACTCACATGGCCATGACATAGGTCAGACTACCAGCTGACGCATTTCAAGGGTCATACCCTCTTCTTCAGAATAAAGCCAGTGAGTTCCATCTCCTGAAAGACCATATTGTCCCCTGGGTTCATGTACAACGCTGGCTTAATCATTAGCTTTTTAATAACATTAACATTAATGTTCATGCTACTACGGTATAAACCACTCATTTTCACTTCCTACATATTTACATTTTTTTTATTTTTAAGTGTTATTTTACACAGAACATTTGAAAGGAGACACACAGACGCAGTATACCAGAAAACGTTATTGTTGAATCTATACCACATGAAAACTTTCAAACATACAGAGTTCCACCTTGACCTGTCTAAGTTAGTATAATCTTTAAATGTCAAATCCACCAAAAATTATACATCAGTTTTGGGTGGGCACTGGTAGGGATAATGATCTAGTGGGAATCTTAGGAGAGTGCCATTCCCTGAATGATAAAACGTATCTTTTGAAATTGCCAAATTAGTATACCCTACAAAATTCTTGACCATTTATATGCAAACAAATATTTACCCATTTGTACAAAAATTATCTATAAAAAAGTTGCTAATAAAAAGACATACTAAATGTCACTATATAAATTAGATATCAATCATACACTTTGAAAAGCTAATTTATACATAGAATGTGCAGTCTTTATAACAGATGAGGAATATAGACAGATTAGAGAGAGGGATGAACAAATGTTCTGTCCAAAAGATGTAAGGCATATAATCCTGAATTGTACATTCATAATGATTTATGGCATGAATAAATTTGTGTACCTACGAAGGTCATTGGTACTATGTTTATCTTCTCTATTGGACCTTGAATTTTTTTCTTTGTCTGGACAAGAATTGGAATAGTTTGTGTGACCTATACAGATAAGGCAGTTGCATAGTAATTAGCATTTAATTATCAACAATCATTTGATGTTGAGTTCTGGGCACGGATTGTGTTTTCCAGTGTAAATTTCAGGTCAGTGTCAAGACCATGACTCTGTCCCCTCCTCCGACCTTGTCCGTTTACTTCGTGTTTGGACGTTATGTTCACTTAAGTACAATATGTACATTTAAGTTTTTGGCATTTTGCTGGTAGAGTAGGGAGTGGCTGGCACTTTGATACAGCTGGCCATCTTGAAATTGTATTGCAATATAGTGTATGTGGCTGAGGAGTCCCCTGTTTTTGTGTAGCATTTACTAGAAGGGTGTGTAGCAATGTGAAGAGAGGGTTCATTTAGAATACTGGTCACAGCTGCCCCCACAATGCAATGGCAGAACTGCTAAATCCAATGTTCAGGTAATAACAAAAGCACACTTTCCAGGAATCTTTTGTATAAATGTTCCTGCAACTGTTAGTTTGTTTCCAATAATGGATGTGGGGAGAGATATATTAACATTTATTCTTGTTTTCAGTTTTTCATGTATTTGGAAATGATAAAATTTAAATTATATTCTTTTTTTGCCTAAACATCTTATTTCATAGTCAACTAAGCCAATATGCTCTGATTACTATAGCCATATCCAATGCACAATAAACATGACACATTAAACATGATAATAATTGTATTTTCATTTTGTTTCTCAGGTATATGGGCATTTCAAAAGGACTCTCAATTCAAGCGAGTATTTATTTTATCAATTAGTCAATGAGTCAATAACCCCGATAACACATTTAAACTGACTGATCTCTCTCTCTCTCTCTCTCTCTCTCTCTCTCTCTCTCTATATATATATATATATATATATATATCCTCCAGGTTAACCAGATACCAGTTTGTTGTTTTATTTTTTTAGGCAGAGGCTGAGTAGCAGCCTGGGAGTGAGGTAGTGAGTAGTGAGGTTACCTTAGGACAGACTAGGGAGGTTCTGAAGGTCAGAGCTTCTGGAGCCCTCCTAGCTCTCCAGAAACCTGAGAGCTTGATGGAGGAGGGGAGAAAGCACAGATATGCATACTTGTGAGTCCTTTGCCAATCCCCTGGAAGGAGGCTGGGTATGGTGACTGAGGCAACCCTTAAGTATTGCAGAGCCTGGGTGTAAGGGGGCAGTGTCGGGTGAAAGATGGAGTGAGAATCTGGAGTGTGGGAGGGGGTCCAGAGAAGGAGACTACCTGTGGGCAGGTGCTGGAGAAGAGGATCTCCACTGTACCACCGTCTTTAAGGGAGGACATCCTGAGCAGCAGGGAAAGAGCCATCTCAGCAAAAGGCCTGAAGACAGCCACCAACCCATCAAGCTATCAGGAGAGGATAGTGTGAGTACTCTTACACACTCTGGGCCAGATAAGGGGAGAGGGCGGTCAACTGGAAAACTAACTAGCTTCTCATCTGGGGATGCTAAGCTGATTTGGCAACTTCTAGGCCCCCTTGCCCAGGGAGCACCTTTGGCAGCTGGGCAAAGAGGAGGATTCATCTGGGGTCTGAGGATGTACACCAGAGAGCTGGAATGCTTTTAAAGGAAAGACTATTTTGTCCACATCTGTACGTAGTTACGAAGTTGTTTGTCCTCAAGTTTGCAGTTTCCTTGGGCATCTTATACACCCCTAAACCCCATCAAAGTCTTAATAAAATCACAAAACCAAGCTCAAGGACTGTTTACTGACTCCAAGTGCAAAGTGTGGAAGAAAATGCATGTTGCCTGGCTGTGCAGAGTTAGGGGGACTCTAAAGTGAGTCCATAGGGGGGTAGTGCTATCTATCTCTCTCTCTCTATATTATATATATATTTATATATAAAATCTTTACAACAGCCTTTATCACCCAAGTGTGTCAAGACAAACATTTATTTTTATAGGTATATACAGTATATTTAATTTTTCCCTCTAGTAACTGTGTATGAATGCATGGGTTTCAGAACCATTTCCCGAAGGGTGTAAAGCCTAAAGAATGGATCTAAGTTATTCTACAATCTTGTATCTTCCAGTTTAAGTTAGTCGATAAATGGGTATCACTTAAACTGAAAACTTTCAGCATCAAACCAATTTTAACAGAATATAGGTAAAAAAGCTACATAAACACTGTTTTGGATTCTATAGCACATTTGTTGGTTAAGCTGGCCATATATTTAGCCAGTTCAGCCTACGGGCTTAACAAAAGAAATCCAACAGATTCCACCATCCACACTAAAGAGCAGGGACGGATGAACCTTTCTTGTTGGATCCTATATTCTGAAAACTGGCCACTGCAATTGTCAGAATACACAAACAGTGTCTGCATCTACAACTGCAAGCACTGTTCAGGGGACAATTTCACACCCAGCTCCTTCAATAAAAGTCAAATGAGCAACATCTGTCAAGCTGGGTTGTGCTGACAGGAGCCTTTGAATTTTGGCTGATTTAGCAGGATTTAGACAAAGTTTGCGCTGTACATAGCAATCCTTAGTTTTGACCAACAGAACACTAGGTGTAGCCTTTCCAGTTACATTTATCAATATGTAAGGATAAACTGATATCTATAAAAAAAACAGCACCAATCAGAAAGAACTGGTATACTTCCCAGCATAAGATAATTGCAAATTAATAAAGGGAACACATATTGCATTTCCCTCAGGGAATATAATTCTGTTTGTTGTGTGGTAAAACATATGTATGACATATTACTATTTTTATCACTAATACATGTAGCTGAAAACTGCTTATCAGATCCACTGAGTCTTTTTCAGCTTTGAAGAATAGCATTGCACACGGAAGAATCTAAAGTATTATCTCAAAAATCTGATATAATATAGTAGAACTCGGACATATTATTGCAGGGAGCTCTAAAAGATTATTGCAGAATTCTGATAATAAGTTCTGATGGTAAGTTCTATGCAAATTAAAATACTTTTTTTAGGTGGACTCTGGGCTTAGATCTTTTCTGAAAGCTTAGAAAAATGTTGGCCCAAAATGGCAGACATGGCATTAGTTTTCTTTCTTCTCACCTATAAAACATTTAGATTACAAAAAAATACTTCTGCTATTTAATCCAAGGACTGACAGGAATGAACATATAATTATGGTACTGGTTAAACGTATACATTTCCTGAGAAGGTGCCTTCTGAGATAGAGGCATACGCATATCAAGTTAATAAAACACTGTATTGATTTTTAGTTGTCATCTAAATAAACTTTCATGATGTATTACAGGAAAAGCACAACAATCTCTTGCGTATATAAAAGAAAAAAGCACCAATATTCCCTGGGTGTTTGCTAGCTCCCTGTTCCACTGACATCCCCATAACCTTTGCAGCGTTCTTTATTTTTTCTATGTGAAACACAGTGTTATAGCAAACCATCTGATGTATGTGCTGGTGGACTATGATGGCACCTCCATGACATCGCCTGATGTATGCAGCAGGATCTGTAATCAGAATTTACCTAAAAAAGGAGCACAAGCTGGAGCAGTCCAAGCACACAGGTATAACATCTTATAGATGCCATGTGTACTGATGCCAAGTTGAAGGCATTTGTCATGCAGTATATTAAAGAGCATTAATCCTTTAACAATAAGACATTGTTCTTCAATCCTTTTAACAATAAAACATTGTTCTTTAGCCTCTCAGACACTTGCAGCAACTTTATAAGAGTAACTCTTTGAAAACGGCTCTGACTTATTTGATCCACAGTTCTTCCAAAATGGTAGTGCCACAAGGAACAAGGCAAGGCCTCCCATAAGAACACAAATGCCGCAAAAGTAAAAGGCAATATCATACGTTCCCGTCCAGTCAAAGAACCAACCTAAAAAAGAGCAACAATAATTGTAAACATTAATTTGTCATTAATTGATAACTCAGAATAAAATATAAGAATGCTATAAGTAAGAGCAACTTCACAGTATATCAATTCACAGCATTAGCCTACAGACTCTGCCTTTTTATGTTAGTATTGTGACATTACAGGGAATATATCTTCCTTTGTTAAGTTTTTTACATTTTATGTGAATCCAATTCTCAATATGTAACGATACAGAACAGAGGTGATTGGATGTAAACAAAATGCAAGTCTGTTTACACCCAAATACCTACAGATCGAATATAAGTCCAGAAAGCTCCAGTTTTTAAAGGAGAATGGCCAAAGCTCTTCTGGCCATACTTCTCCTGTGGTTCACAGGAGTGCACCTACTACCTAAAGCCCACTGGCGGCGGATGTCACAGAGCCGGGCTAGGATCTGCAGGGATCCTGATCAGGTGATCTGCCCATAATGTCAGGCTCTACCCAGATTCCTGACCAGCAGCTGGCTCTACCTCTCAGTGAGTCACTGCCTGAGTCAGAAGCTCCTGCCTCTCCACAGCTGGGGCCCTTCAGTGAGCGCTGGAGCGGCAGAGCACAGAGCGGTGACTGACAGTCACCGCTCTGTGCTCAGAGTAGATCCGAGAACTGAGCAATAATCCTTTTTTGATCACTCAAAAAGTGTAGAGCTAGGGAGGAACAGCATCAAATTGATGCTGTAGCCATCTAGGTGAGCAAGTAGGGTTTTTTCTTTTTTTTTTTTTAATCATGCACTTCTCTTTTAAATGCAGAAAAAAAAAAAAGTATCAGACATGGGTTTCACAAAAATAACTTCTGTTCTGTTCTGATTCAGCAGGGAATCCGTTTACAGATCCCATGATGATTTCACCAGGGGTCTAAGTGATAAAAAATAAATAAAATTCAGCAGCAGAAAAATTCTGAAAAAGTGTTCTTTCAATGAACTTTCCCTGTGGTTTACTTAATACACAAAGCCCACAGCTTTCCAGTTTTCACCAGAAGCACTATGGATAAACAGAAAGTGTACCAGCAATGTGTGACACCATTATCAAACAATTATTTATAAAATGGCATAGGCCAGTACTCACAAATGCCTCTTTATGAACCTGTCTTGTCAATTAAAAAAATCTAGGAAGACACCCATTTCACCTTTGGTGCATTCAATAAATCTTTCTAACTGATCCTGTTTGCACAGCATACAGTTACCATCTACTGCATGTATTTCCACTGACCAGTTTCAAGGGCAAACCCTCTTCATCAGAACCCTGTTTATAAAGAGATGTTTGTGAGTACCAGTCCATGTCATTTAATAATGTTTTTTTTTTTTTAAGGTGTCACACGATGCTAGTGTGCTTTCTATCTATCTTAAATTCTAATTATATGTTAGCAAAAAATTTATTTTGACTTATAAAACTAAGGAGCTTGCTATATTTGTTTATTACAGAAACATGTTACTACCTCACTGAAAGCCTGCAAATGGTTCAAGAAACAAAGCTTCATTGAAATATGCGGACTTTCATTTGGCAAAGCCAGTTCAGATCAGTCCCAACACAGTGTGCATTATACCCTATGCAGATCGTATTGTCTCACTTACAGTTAAAGGACACTTATACCTTAGGGGGTTAAACAACAATTGTTTTGGAAGTAGTACAACCTGTTAGGGTTTAAATGCTATCTGCTTCCCACAGAGGAGATTTCACTTTTCTTCCTGTTCTTTTTGGCATCACTCCGCCCCCCCCGATGCAGTGATCTTTATTGTGCAGCCCTGCTGGGTCCTCTGCATACTTGGCATGCACACCGCTGCTTTTCTGATTTCTATGGGAAAAGTCATACTTCACAGGATGTCTGAAGGCCGCCATGGGTATGGCTCCCCATATAAATTAATTGGGATGTGGAGCACTTGTGCAGGATGAAAGAGACCCAATGGGGGCACTTTTAGAAGAAATTGTATGCAGGTCCAGGCAGGGCAAAACAGTGAAGATTGCTAGAATGGGGACAGAGGTAAGTATTGCACTAGGTGCACTGCTCTCAGGGGTCGGCTGCATGCCTTAAAGGACAACTTGTACTAGAAGTACAGCTGTCCTCTAAGTGTGACCTTTAATAGCAATATATATATATATATATATATATATATATATATGATATATGCCTAGTACCATCATTAAAGGTATGACAACAAACAGGAATCCAGACTTATGAGATTCATGTCAAAAATGAAAATGTAAATGCCACAAAAGTAGACGCATCTGTTTTTTCACTGACATATTGAGATTATGTGACAATTATTCTTCAATTTGTGTACAGTTTTTTTTAAATTTCTTTTACTGTAAACGATCTTCTCCTAAAGAACGGGAAAGTCCTAAATAACTATCCAATGAGTGGGTTACAACATAAACAATATCTTACCAACTACAGGTGGTCCAAGGCAATTCCCGACACCAGCAAAGAACATCAGTATCCCATAGGCGTGAGTGAGTTTATCTAGGCCAACAGTGTTTGTTGTTACGTATGGAAATATTGACCAATTGCCAGTAAAAAATCCTACTGTCCCAGCAATAATAGCCAGGGTGGCATATGTCTTGGCGAAAGGGACTGCAAATATTGCCAAGCCTGTTGCCACTATAGTAAAGACATAAAGATATAAGGCATTCATCCACTTAAAATCAGCCAGGATGCCCAAGATGAGCTTACCGATGGCCATCATGACGCCAAGGATGAACACTAGGGGCACTGCCATGTCTTCTTTGCTTATATTGGCACTTTTGGCTACATCTTCCAAAAGAAATCCTGGAGGAAACCCTCCTGTGTCAAAAAGCAGAATGTTTATGAAAAGAGCCGCAAACACTTTGTTTTGAAAAGGTTTTGAGTGTCCTCCCAATAATCAAGGTAGCTGTGGCACTTGTTTTTAATGAACTGTTTGCAGCTTTGTTTCTCTGCAGCTCCATGGTTGATGTTAACCTTTTCTATATCAAGCTGAGTGGTAGTTTTATTATCTTGAGAGTTGCAGTTCTCATTTAATGTGTGGGATTTCACAAGCATCCCCAGCTGTTCCTCAGTGTTGAGTTCTTTTTCATGATAAATGAGGTAGGTATCTGGAGCTCTCTCTTTGTCTGCTTTCTCTTTTCTGTTGCTTGATACTTGTGGCAATGGCCTCATCAGAATGCCACATGCCAATATATTCAATGACAGAGCCCCAACGATCAGCAAACACCCATCTATTCCATAGATAGATATCAACTCTTTCTGCAGGCTTGCATATATAAAGGTTCCAACGCTAGAACCTAAAAAGTGTAAATACAAACAGTTATGTATATTTAATGTATTTTTATCCCCATGTTTAAAGGACAACTATTATTAAAAAAGCAGTATTTACTGGTGTGCTTGTGTGTACCATATTTACCTTCAAGCTCAAGCACAAAGACCCAAAAAGGCTTAATTAATGATAGAAAAATAATAACCATGCCTGTTTTGGTGACATGCATGCTCAGTATCATTAGTCTATCCCTGAATCTAAACAGAGCAATATAGTTAAAAAGGAATTCTGGGTATGGATATTTTATACAGTACATAGTTACATTGGTCTGGCTTAGACCAATATAACTATGCATATACATATACAATACCTGGCCAATGCCCCTGGAAGCTCGAAATCACTTAAAGTAGAACTACACTGCATCTGAGCACCCCAACCCAATATGCTATTTAATTTTTATTATCCAAAGCAAACACATCAATCCATCCACGTCTCCATGCATTATTTTTCTGAGAAAATATTTTTAAAAACACCCCCTAGCATTTCTGGCAATAGCCATCTAGCATTTATTTCCTGTAATCCATCTGCCCTTGGCTGAACCATGCAGGCAGGATGGTGTGCATAGCTAAGAAAACCCTCCTTCCCTCCTGAAAAATCCTATCTATTTCCTATCTATTTACTAATGCTATCAGCATAAGAATTAAAAATAGTCAATGTTGATTGAGAGACTGAAGTCCCGTTTTAAGAAATAGACAGCGCTAATCCAGTGATCTCCACTTTCTCTGAGTCCCGTGCTGAGTGGCTTGCCTGCTGTATTCTGAACACAGAAGGTTGGATACTCAGCACAGGTGCAGTTCAGAGAATAAATTGCATTTTCTGAATTAATACAAAGTGTTCTCTAAATGGACGAGAAAAGGTGGGGAAGAGATGTCACGGTGGACCAATGTAACTATGTAAAAAAATACAGTTACCCTACCTGGAATCTATTGTACGTACTTATACTTGTAGCTATTAAATTATGTTTCCTAATTCCTAAAAGATACAGAAGTATATTTATTTGTATTTGCTGCCATTGCTGGGAACCTTCTGAAAATGCTGGTTGTCTGTGTCTGTATCAGTATTTCTAAATCACCACCCTGAAACTATAAAACGGCACATGAGTTTCACAAAAGTCTCAGGGCTCCTTATCGCTATACTTGTTCCAGGTTAGAAGATATTGAAGCCAAAGCATAAACATGTAAGCCAGACAGCTAGCATTTTTAAAAAGAGAGATCAGAAATGGTAACCAATATATATACACTCACCAGCCACGTTATTTGGTACACCTTGCCAGAGGCAGACTGACCATTTGGAAACTCGGGCACTTCCCGAGGGCCCGGGGTCAATAGGGGGCCCCATGAGATGCCCCTGGTACCTTTTTCATAGGCTTTTTTGAGTTTGGGCAAGGACACAGGGGCCCCATGATCCCCTATTGCCCGGGGGCCCCATGAGTTGTCAGTCCGCCCCTGCACCTTGCTAGTACCGGTTTGGACCCACTTTCACCTTCAGAACTGCCTTAATTCCTCATGGCATAGATTCAACAAGGTGTTGGAAACATTCCTCAGAGATTTTGGTCCATATTAATATGATAGCATCACACAGTTCCTGCAGATTTGTTGCCTGCATATCCATGATGCAAATTTCCTGTTCCACAACATCCCAAAGGCGCTCTATTTGATTGAGATCTGGTGACTGTGGAGGCCATTGAAGTACATTGAACTCATTATCATGGTCAAGAAACCAGTTGGAGATGATTTGAGCTTGGTGACATGGGGCATTATCCTACTGGAAGTAGTTATCAGAAGATGCGTACACTATAGTCATAAAGGGATGGACATTGTCAGCAGCAATACTCAACTAGACCGTGGCATTTAAACGATGCTCAACTGGTAGTAAGGAGCCCATTACACCACCAGCAGCCTGAACCATTGATACAAGGCAGGATTAATCCATGATTTCATGTTGTTTATGCCAAATTCTGATCCTACCATCTGAATGTTGCAGCTGAAATTGAAACTCATCAGACCAGGCAACGTTTTTCAAATCTTCTGTTGTCCAATTTTAGTGAGCCTGTGCAAATTGTAGCCTTCGTTTCCTGTTCTTAGCTTACAAAAGTATCACCCGGTGTGGGCTTCTGCTGCTTTAAAGTTAGACATGTTTTACGTTCAGAGATGGTATTCTGCATACCTTGGTTGTAACGAGTAGTTATTTGAGTTACTGTTGCCTTTCTATCATCTTGAACCAGTCTGCCCATTCTGATCTCTAACATCAACAAAGCATTTTTTGTCCACACAACTGCTGCTCACTGGATATTTTCTCTTTTTCTGACCATTCTCTGTAAACCCTAGAAATGGCTGTGCGTGAAAATCCTAGTAGTTTTTTAAATACTCAGACCAGCCCGTCTGACACCAACAACCATGCCATGTTCAAAGTCACTTTCACTTTAATCCGCTTTCTTCCCCATTCTGATGATGAACTTCAGCAAGTCATTTTCACCACGTCTAGATACCTAAATGCATTGCCATGTGATTGGCTGATTAGTGTTATTTGTGTCACCAAGCAACAGGTGTACCTAATAAAGAGGCCAGGGAGTGTATATAATCTCACTACAGATGTTTAATTACTTGAAATACATTCTGCGCATATGCATCTATAAATAGGTCAAGATAGCTCTCCCTCCTCTCACTTATCACTTATATATGTGTAAGAAATACTAGAAATCTAATTTGCATTTAAATTTAAAGCTGATAAATTTGTTATACCTGTTGAAACAATTCCAAGTGCAAGTCCTCGTCGCTTTTCAAAATACTGGCAAGTTGCAGTCACCGCAGCTGTATACAACAGGCCACACCCAAAACCTGAAAAAAAGAAATGACATTCTTAGATCCAAATGCAGTAGTTACTGTGCATGATTACACTTTGCTCTGCCTAATTAAAAGATAACATTACCAGACAGGGGCGGACTGACAACTCATGGGGCCCCCGGGCAATAGGGGATCATGGGGCCCCTGTGTCCTTGCCCAAGCTCAAAAAAGCCTATGAAAAAGGTACCAGGGGCATCTCATGGGGCCCCCTACTGCCCCGGGCCCTCGGGCAGTGCCCGAGTTTCCAAATGGTCAGTCCGCCCCTGTTACCAGATCTTCTCCAGGTATTATCAAAGAAAAGAAAATGATACCATGGGGTCATAATAATATGTACATGTGAAGGGTTGTCTTCATCCACATGGGATGTTCAGACAGAATACATTCTGATCTGTCCATCAGACTCACACAGATGTACAATCTGGGATGCATTTGGATATCCCTGTAGGTCCATGCAGCCGGCACCTGTCATTGATTTCAACAGGCTGCCCGCACAAAACATCTGTGCATCCCACATGGGTGAAGCCAGCCCTTAGCACAGTTGTGCGGATTGGTACATCTGTGTGAATGAGACTCAATGCTATTTCTAACATGATTTGCCTGTCAGACAAAAGCAGAATGTGTGTGGTTTAATGCCTTCCTTCCCTTTGAAAAAAAAAGATATGTTGGCACCATTGTACAGAACATTTTCTGCAGATTTGAACATTTCGAAGTGTAAGAATTTACACTTTTGACATAGAAAGCCTTCAATTTTTCACCCTAGGTAGCCTAAACAGACTGGTCATCACCTGATCATTCCTTTTTCCCCATTTATCTGTAGTGGGATTAGGCTGTTTATGGTTAAAACACATCCATGCTATGTCTAGCTTTATTTAGGAACTGGTCATGTACACAGTGGTCTCCATTCCAGATCCTTGTTAAACTGTATGTCAGGAAAAAAATGCAGTACATCTATGCAATTCATGCATATTTCTCCATGTTTTATTCCTTTGATGACTCTGCAAGCTCAGAACAATACCCATTGATCTACCAGGATTGCACTCAGCTCCTACATCCTGTTGCTGGCTGCAATTTTGTGATCTGAGTGGTGTCAGCCCTGCCCAGTTGTATTTTGTTATAGGATGTTTGAAAATCCTTTTAATTTTACATTTAACAGAGCAAATGGTAGTAAATAAGAGTAGTTAATTGTTAGGCTTTACATACGCTTTAGTTTATAATCAACATACAATACCCACAAAGAAGATAAAATGTAAACATGTCTGGCCATGGGAAATCTGAGTGAGCCTTGAGTCTCACATCCTCCTTGGCTAATACTTGCAAGTTGTTTTTAGCTGCATCAGTACTGGCAGGCAGCCAGCAGTTTTTTGCTGACTGTTATATATGTGGTGTCACTTCTGTACACGCTGAATAACAGTTAACCCACAGAATACAGAAGCAGATGTGATCAAAGGTTTTCAGTTAATAGCATTAGCAAAGTAAGCTATTCACATCCGTTAAAATAAAACAATATCAAAGAGCAGATTAGTCTCACTTGCACTAGGCGAGAAAAATATGGGAACAAGCAGACCCATAAGAATATGCTGAAAATACTCTTTTTTTAAAAAGTTCATAGAGTACAAAAGCATATTAATGTGTAATTCACAATCAAAGGAAAAGATTTTAGACAACCAGTATATGCATTATGCCTAATATATAAGGCTCAGTGTACCAAATATATATGATAATGTATGTTTATTTACATAAAAAGTTATTATCTGTAATTAGAATCTATACGATGCAATGTTCTTAATAGGTGTACTCAAATGTACAGCCTATGATACACCTGGAAAAGATAGTATATCAAAGAAAAGCATTTGCATAAGCAACACAGTATCAGATAACGTTGTGCCTTCTATAGGGTTATAGGCTGAAGCATAATAATGTAGAATTGCAGATGTTGGTGGGAGGTACATGACCTTCCTTACAGTGGCATACCTTGGACTTTGCAAACTTATGCAAATATCAGGCAACACAGTGGCTCAGTGGTTAGCACCCCTGCCTCACAGCACTGGGTCCTCGCTTTAAATCTCAACCAGGATACTGGAGGGACAGTTGGCACTTGGGTAAACATCAAATGGCAGTTGCCCTTATTGTAATGACACTTCAAAAAAAGATACTGCCATTTGACATTTACCAAAGTATCGACTGTCCCTCCAGAGGTTCACAGTATATAGAAGCAGCAGCACCTGGTCTGAGCACCGGGTGGAGCTGAGGATTGAAGGAAGGTAGCAGCACCTCTACACTTGTTTGCATTGATCAATCAGAACACTACCTGCATGGAGATGCCATGTTCTCCCTGTGCTTGTCTGGGTTACCTCCAGGTAATTCTATTTCCTTCCACACTCCAAAGGTATGCTGGTAGGTTCATTTGCCCCTGTGTAAAATGGCCCTAGTATGTGTATGTATGAATGCGAGACCTTAAAGTGGTTGTAAAGGCCCAAGGTTTTTTACCTTCATGCATTGTATACACAAAGGTAAAAAACCTTCTGTGTGCAGTAGTATCCCCAGACCCTCAATACTTACCTGAGCCCCATCATGTGAATGGACACACGGAGCATCGGGCGCCCTCATAGCAAGCTGCTTGCCATCGGGCACCCAACAGGAAGGAGAACCAAGAGAGCCTGTGGGGGACCCAAGAGAAGGAAGGATCCAGGATCTGTGTAAAACCACTGCACACAGCAGGTAAGTATAATATGTTTGTTTTTTTCCCAAAAGAAAAATTAACCTTTAGAATAGCTTTAATATGTAAAATGCTGTGTAAACTGTCAGATATAGACCAATAAACTGTACAGATAAACTGTAGATATACCTGTAGTAATAATACTGATAATTTCTGTGTGGTTTAATCAGTAATTCATATTTTCCTGGATGTCATTTAGCAAGAGTACTCACTTACATTTAAATTAGATACCAGAGCTAAAAAAAAAGGTTTTATGCAAAAAAGAACAGTAATAACTTAAACTCAATCCTTTGTCCCTACTAGTTTTTCTTTAAAGCAGTGGTCTCCAAACTGTGGCCCAGAGGCCGGATGTGACCCTTTGCTTGCTTTTGTCTGGCCCGTGGAGTACTATTTTATTCACGGACACCAATGAAGGGCACAGTTGTTATTAAAGTCACCAATGATGGGGCAAAATTCCTCCCAATGACACCAACGGTGGAGTACAATTCCTCATAATGACACCAATGAGGGGGCACATTTCCTAATGACACCATTTCCTGATGACACTAATGAAGGGCACATTTCCTCCCAATGACACCAACAATGGGGCAGGCACAATTCCTCCCAAAGATGATGGGGGATTGTTTACTCCCACTGATACTGGGACATTTTGTACTCCCAATGGCCACAGTCTGGCTCCCCTAAAGTCTGAAGAACAGTAAACTGGCCCTCTGTTTAGAAAGTTTGGAGCAGGGGCAGACTGACAACTCATGGGGCCCCTGGGTAATAGGGGATCATGGAATCCCTGTGTCCTTGCCAACACTCAAACTACATAAAAAAAAGCCTATGAAAGGTACCAGGGGCAACTCATGGGGCCCCCTACTGACCCTGGGCCCTCAGGCAGTGCCCCCTGGTTTGGAGACCCCTGCTTTCAAATAATTACAGTTCAGATATGCATAGTCAAAAAGTTTTAGAGTCTTTGGATAAAAAGACAGACCGGAATTGGCATTCTCACAAGAAAATGTCAGCAGTGGCAGCCTTCATATTTTCTCAGTCCAGGTTTCATTTAAGTCATAGTGACATACACACAGCATGTTTAAAGTGGTTCTAAAGGCTGAAGGTTTTTTTTATTTTAATGCATTCTCTGCATTAAGATAAAAAACACCTTCTGCATGAAGCTCTCCATCAGTCACACCTCTTATGCTTACCTGAGCCTGATATTGATCCAGTGATGTGCATGAAAGCAGTGGCTCTCTTCCTCCTCATTGGCTCAGAGACAGCATCAGGAGCCATGTCCCGCTGCTGTCAGTCACAACCATTAAGGAGGAGGGGGGGCAGGCTGAGCCACACTCTGTGTCTATGGACTTGCTATGGTGGGCATTTAGTGGGGGGAGGAGCCAGGAGCAGTGGCCGGGACCCAAGAGAAGAAGGATCAGGGCTGCTCTGTGCAAAACCATTGTACAGAGCAAGCATGACAGGTTTGTTATTTTTTTAAATTAAAATTTCATCCTTTACAACCACTTTAATATCACTCAAACATAAGAGCAGTATATTATAAATTAAAAGTGTTTACACAATAATGTAAGTTGTGATCTCTATTTCACATACAATACATTAGCATTATGATCTTATTCCAGTGCATATTATAAATGAAACCTGTAGTTTCATGAAACATGTTACTTACCAACCATAAATCCATATGAAAAGTAAAGGAAGTAAATATTTGGAGCAAAGCTACTCAATATCAATCCCCCCGCTTATCAAGAATCCGCTAAAAATGGCAACTGGTCTAGCACCAAAAGAAGAGACACAAGCGCTACACAGGGGACCTGCAAAGAAAAGATAATAAACTGTTTATAGTAGTTGTTTGGTTTCATCCTGTATATATAACAACTGTATCTATTTGAGTGGGACAATCAGAGTGCTAAGGCAACAAAGGAGTAGCATAGGGACAACTTGAAGCCCTGAAGCTATTGATGACATTCTTGTCCTTTTATGCCTGTGCGTGGCCACTAAAGTAGAATAACAAGTCTAGTAATAGCATCTAGACCAGTGGTTCTTAACCTGGGTTCGATCGAACCCCAGGGGTTCAGTGAGTCAGTCTCCCGGGTTCGGCAGAGGTGAAGACCCACACCAGACTCATATGATTCGTGCAGTAAATATTCATTATTATGTTTTTGTTTTTGTGTGAAAATCATGTTTTAATGGTTTTGTTCTTTGTTCTTAACGGTTTTGTTCATTTTGTGCACCTATGTATAAATATATACCTATGTTTTGAATTTTAAAAATCATATTTTATTTTTCCAATTAAGAAGGGTTCAGTGAATGCACATATGAAACTGGTGGGGTTCAGTACCTCCAACAAGGTTAAGAACCACTGATCTAGACAATCAATACAGATACCATTGATGTGCATACCTGTGTGTACAGTTCATGCACAGATACATAATTTTAGTACCTCATGCTTGTTACCACATTTAAAGGCAAATTTGTCTTTATTATTTTGCATAAATTTAACAGACATAGTATTAGAAGTATAAAGAACATGTACAAGTAGATAAACAAAAAAAAAGATAAAAACATCACAGATGAGGTTATGATTCATATGGATGTATGAAAATGATGCAGTAAAACTGCAAGAGGAAAGGATCAATAACTTATATTACAGAGGTATAACATAATAAAGTATCAGGGGGGTATCCCTATGTGAGATGTCTGAAACAATATGAGAGAACTCCATATAACCAACAATGTAAACTAAAGAAAGAGGAAGATAGAATAAAAGGGGGGGGGGGGAAGAAAAAAGCCAGCAGAAAGGAAAGCAAAAGAGAGAGAGAGAGAGAGAGAGATTGGTTTGGGAGACGGGAACAGTAGAAAGCAACAGTAGGGTGGTTCCTCAACCGAATCTCACCGAAGCGAACCCGCTGCCCCGCATCTCGGCACAGACCGCAGGGTCCAATTGGCGGATAAGCCAAAATGAAAATTAGTCCTGGGAGCAAGGCTCAACTCCACTAGAGCACAACAGGGGAACACATATCTCGGAGAGTCGCAGAGGAGGAGAAATGGAGCCAGATCGACCACAGCAACTTATGTTTATCATAGGTATCATTGGTAAACACCAGCATTTCCTCCATACACATGGTATCATTAAGCACACATTGGGAAAGGAGGGGGGGTGGCCATTTTCCAAAAGAGGGGTATCAATTGGGGGGGGCCACAGACAGATAGAAGCGCAACAGACTTTTCTTTTGTGCTGCCCGTGTGCCCGGTAATATAGATAGAAGGGCAATTTCTGGTGAAGGGGCCAAGGACTCACTGTGAACCCGGTTATATACAGCAAAGACTTGTTGCCAGAAGGGTTGTATTTGATCGCAATCCCACCAGATTTGGAGCTGTGTACCAACAGCTCTATTACAGCGCCAACAAAGATCAGGTGTAGAAGGAATGATTTTGTGTAGGGAGAGGGGATTCCTGTACCATCGAGAAACAAACTTAAAATTCTTTTCTTGTGAGTAGCAGGAAATAGACGGTTTATGAGTAAAGTTGAACGACGTGGACCAATCTTCCGCCGAAGTGTCCTTACCTAGGTCTCGAGCCCACGTCTTAGTGTAGGGAGGGAGTTCAGAGTGAAGAGCATTGTGGAGCACGTTATAGAGAGAAGCTAGGACGTGCCTCGGTGGTTCAGAGAGGGAACAAAGCCGCTCAATCTCAGAAAGTGTTGAATGTTGGAGGAAGATTGCAATTGCTTGCAAAAGGAGGATAGGTGTAGTGTGGTTAACCAATCCCTAGACCCACCCTGAAGGAGCAAAAGACCTGATGTTACAACATTTAAAATGGCACAGGTCACAGCAGTGGGACTACCTTTAATGAAGAATTCTAGGTATGGCTATGTTATACATAATTACAGTGGCCCAGCTTGGGCCAATGTAACTAAACATATTCCATGCTCTCCATGTTGCTCAATCAGAGAACACATTGCATTTATTCAGAAAATGAACCCTCTGAATGGTGCCTCGTTTACAGAATAATGTCTGAATTTCACCATGATACCCAAACATTCAGGCATTTTAATTATCGCCTAGCACAGTCGTGAAAGTGCAAATATATAGATAAAACCCATTGTGATGTACAGAGCTGGCATGCCTCAGTATACTGACTGGTAGATTGGTAGAAGAATGGAGCTGCAGCACTGTTATCACTGTTTGAAAGAAGTCTGTTCATCAGTGTACACAAGTGGATAGATGACTAATACTCTTATTGCTACTCAAAGGAAATTTGTCATAGTTTATTTGTGAGTGTTTTAGACAGATTGCTTACCAGCAAACACTATTTATTTGGGCCCCATAAGTAAAAAAACATCTGGTGCCTTTTTGTTGGTCACAGGTCACCCATGCTTGTATACATCACTACACTTAGTCAGGGAATATACATTCCCTGAATAGATTCTCCCACATGTTACATCAGTACCAAATTTAGACCTTGGAGGCCTGGGACACTTCAAGTTTAGGGGCCCCTCAACATAGAAATTAAATTATATGACAAATAAAAAAGTGAACTGAAATTAATGATCAACCACATTTGTTCTAATAAAAATCTCTTATGTTTCGAAGGATACACATTGCATGGATAATTGGAACTGGAAAGTCATACATCACTTTTGCATTACACTATAATATTTACCAAAGTCCTTTCTTCCTGCACTTTTTTAATAAAAAAAAATAATTTAATCATTATTAATTTTTTTTTTTTAACATACATGGATAAATGCTATGTTAGATTTGCGATAACATCATATAATTGTGTACAGTGTAGTGGCTCATTAGGACAAACATAGTAGAAAAAGAACATATAGGACACAAAGGGTACACGTCAGTAAAACAGACACGTAAGGTACCGCTAATGATTCAGTGTCATAGGTGGAAGTACCTACAAAAAAAGCTAGGCTGATTTTACGATCAACAAACTTCATAACAGTATAATTAGGCATTATACAATTCAAGCCAAGGTTTCCAAGCTTTCTCAAAGCCAGGCAATGTGTCAAGTTGGACAGCTAGTAATCTTATAGATAATTGGTGTATAGTGTGCACAGCTTCTGACGGATTAGGAATCATTTTTACATTTTTTTTATGAAGGAATTCTGAGGCCCCCTCTGGCAGGGGGGCCTGGGGCAATTTTGCCCCTTTTACCTTCTAATAAATCCAACACTGTCCTGCAGATTTTCCGGTGTGCAGGAATGTTTGACTTTGGAGATTTTTGTTTTTTAATTAATTGTCTGGTTTCTTTAAAACCTATAAGGTTCAGGTGGTGATTGGATAAGATACATTACGAGAAATCACTGACTTCAATGCACACCTAAGCAGACCTATATTGGCTCTATTTAACCCACAGTCTATTGCTTCTGAGTCCTGACTACTGAGATAAGAGCAGTGGCAGCAGTGTTTACTGAGCACACAAGCATGCGTAGGGTATGAGCATGTGTGCTTATGCACCTCTGTGACATCTAACTCCCTCCTTCATTGTAAAACACCAATCAGTCACTTTATACTGTAGTTTCTGCACACATTGCCTGATGGAAACCTCCTGAAATGAGGAGTCAACAATTAAAATGCCTATTAACCTGTGGCCATCTGTTCACCTTGTGCTAAATGTTGCTCAAATAGCTTTCATCATCATTAGCTACAACTAGACCAACACGCTAATTTCAAAGAACTGCCAAATAGCCATCTCAATAACTCTAACCTCCTAGTAAACAAGAATTCTGCTGACATGCTATATAGGGAAAGAACAGTCCTTAGGAAATCTGTCATGCGTTTCAATACAAATAGTAACTAAGAAACCAATACCATGCGCTCGTAGAAAAGTACAAGGAAATGTGCAATCAGCAGCTTTACCTGGAACATCCATTGCTGTATTCTGAGACAATGAAAACATACTAGAGCTATAATCAGAAACCCATAAGCTTTTATCACCCACTGTGTATTACTTTATTGCGCACGCATATAGATAATAACATAATGGTAAAACACACTGTTGTTTTATCATTTAAGTTTACTACTTTTATAGACAATTGCTAAACTTAAAGGAGAACTTCACCTGAAAAGGGAAGTTCCACTTTTTTTAATTGTTCCTCCTAACATTTTTGGAGATTTTTTTCTTTTTAGGGAGCAGGTACCTACTTCTGGCAGGTACTCACTCCCACTTCCAAACCTCCTGGGACACATCACAGGTCCCAGGAGATTCACAAAGCACAATGCAACTGACGCGCAGTGGATTGCTGGTGGACATCATTGAATCATTAATTGCCCTCTATGGAGCAGTGGATGCAAATAGACATGTGCCACATTTACACCCACCTGCATCCGATCCGATCTGCTAAAAATAGACTGGTGGAGGATCCTTTCCCTATCCATCTAGCAGATCAGATCAGATCGGATGACAGTCTGATGTAAACAGAAATGCAGTCCATTTACATCCGACATACAGGAAAGAGGGCTGTGTTCATGTCCACTCTGCATAAGCAAAGCATACACGGACCTGTCATCTGCCTGTTCAGCAGGGATCAGAGGACAGATGCCCCGCTGGTGGAGTTCACCCATGTAAAAAGGGCCTTAGCCTCTAAGACAAGTGGATAAAGGAAGCAACATATAGCAGACATAAATGGAGCTAAATAGCAAGGCTGCAAAGATAATTTTGCCACCACTCCTAACTTCTACTGTACATGGGCAATAACACAGGTTTACTTAAGGAAATGGTTTGTAGCTTTGTATATATTCTCTTTATTATGGCCAGGGTTCATAATACAAATTTTATTTTATTTTTTGGTAAATAA